AAACGGTATGGTCATTTCGTATACAATTGCATTGTGATCTACAATTATTTAAAAATCAATTACTAAGATGAAAAACATAAGATTATCATTATCACTGAAAAAATTTACCATAAATCTGCAAGCCGTAAAGCTTCAATAAAATGAAAATTGAACTATTTCCACCGAAAACTCGAACTATCCTGTTTAACATTATTTTTACCATTTTTCTAATCTTTATTTTATCGGTAAAAAAATGTGAATTTTGTCGTTGATTAGGAGGTCCACTAACTTCGCAAATAGCAAACTCAACTTTTGGAGGTTTTGTTGCCCAGACAGCATCGATCTTTCACCCAGAACTTCGTTCTTCTGTGTCATTCTTTTTTAAATCAGCATCTTCAGCTGATGCGTATAAGCATACCTCACCACTTAATAGATAAAAATTGATGATTTAAAAATAAGCAATTTAAAATGACGCAATTCATTACTTACAAAAGGAGATCCAGGTACATATTTTTTTTTCGAAATAAACTTCGAATTACAGGTGTTATAAAAATTTTCTCGATACATCCTTTCTGACATATTGGGATGAAGAAGGTCATTCCCATGATCAAAAGAATTGGCACTACAAAAGGGAACAAGAGTCAGTACCTGCATGATATCAAAGAAACTTTTCATAGATCTTAACTAGATTATGCTTACAGATGATCCATGCGAATTCTTTACTTTCATCATTTCTTGTTGATAGGAAGTTTTCATGGACTGCTTTTCGAAAATCAGACGCCTATAATAAAAGACTCGCTAATTAGATATTTTGAAAAATAATCAATGGTAATAATAAAAGTTATAAAATACCTTGACCATTTTAATGATTAATTCTTTGATTTCGTCACAATTAATATTAGGTAGTTTTGGAGGATCGAAACTTTTATTTCTTCATATTCGGATTTTGATAATGAATTGATAAAATCACTATTTGTTCCGGGTGTGAGGTCAATAATATCGTAATATCATCGCATAATGATAGTCAATGCACCATTTACTTGACGTTTTATAAATAAAAATACTTTAACTTACTCATTATGGGGACGATCCTTTTCGCACTTCCATTTTTTTAATGACTCACGAACATTTACCCTACCAAAACAAATAATCCATTCTCCATTTCTAGCGAGGGTTTCTCTGGCCAAGGTTTCGAGTGTTTCATCAATTATTGTGGCCTGTTGCATAAGTACAAAAGATATAAAAACATACGTCAGGTATGCCCGGATTTCTAAAAATTACCTCAATATCTTGGGTATAATCAACAACAGGTCCACCGTTTTCGTCTGAATTAATGGTCTGTGGTGTTGAACCTGATGTTGATGATCCTGAATTAGAATTGGTAGGTCTTTCGTTATTAAGGGATGGATCATCATCGTTTCTCTTTTCATCCACATTCTTGCTAGTGGTTTTGATCTGCTCATACAACAAATAGTAGTGAGGAATCCGCTTCTTGTCATGGGTTGCATCCTATACATACATTCTTTGACGCAGTCGATTCAACCGGTCCTTTGTTCTGTGGATGTAAGAAAGTAGTCTTTAAAAAATGCTCGCATAAAATTCAAGGCAACATAAGGTTCTAACCTTCGAAAGAGATAATTGCATTCTCCGCTTTGTTGAGTGGTTTTTTGGAGGTAGAAAATCATCATCGGACTAAATACAAAAGAAAGAATTAGTTTCTATCAAACAATCACTTCCAGCAAAAAAAAAATACCTCTTGGTCTAATTTTGATGATAATCCAGTGAAAATTCCGCTATTGTTATTACTGCTAATACATATATTTCCATTCCCGGTAATTGGTTGGTGGACGTGAATCTGACCTGGTGGACGCTTATCATTCCACTCTTTTGCTTTTTTACGGTCACCCCGAGTATGTGAAAGAATTAATAATAGTATTCTAATTAACATGCCTAATTCATCATTGATTTCCATCCCACCAAACATCATAGCGACCGAGAAGGCCTCCTGTGATCAGTGGGTCCGGTGCAGGCTCAGCGAAAAGCCTTGAATGTCAGACAACCAAGAAGGCCTCCCGACACGCCATTCCCAGTTGTGGCTCAGCGAAAAGCCTTGAATGTCAGACGACCGAGAAGGCCTCCTAACACGCCACGTTTTTTTCAAACTATCTTCAGTAAAAAAAAAAGACTTTTACTTGCCTTACTATACATATCAAGAAGCATCTGTGCGCACTCTTGCCTGCTACCATCATCATTGTCAGCGATTCCTCTAAGTGATTTTAGATAACAGTCCGTCTGTTGGTCAAACGACTCTAGACCGCACTCGTTCAAAAAATCAAGAATGCTCCAACTTTCATGATTTCGGTTGAAATATTCGTGAATTTTAGA